CTGAACCCAATTTGTTTTTAATGGTAAATGCTAGGGACTAAAACTTAGGGTTCTTTGTACAACAAGGAAGTGCTCTGTCAACTAAATAACTTTTGGGTTTCGCATATGTGCTTTCTTTGAACATACTTACTATCAAACATATTTTTGTAGAAAGTATTGTCTCCGAGTTTTTTGAGTTTGAATACAACTGGAGACATTAGGAACATTAGCTATTCAAGCTAACAATATTAGCTTTTCAAGCAGGTAAAATCTTTGAAAGTGGGTGCATGGGGAAAAAATTTAACTTGCGTGGGATGTTTTAATTAGATTAAATTTAATAGAAAATCGAATTCACCAGGAAAAAGTTTGAATTCACATAATTATTATCTCAGTCAAATGTTTGGAATCACTTGAGTTTAGGAAGCAGTTCTTTCAAGAACAAAAATGAAACAAAACAGGCTTCAGAGCTAATTTGGATAGCAAGAGGTTATTTTATAGTGCTTATTTAATTTACAAAAATAGGACTGCCAACATGATTGCCAATGTCCAATGATGGATATGGCACAAGAAGAAGAAGAAGAAGAAGAAGAATTTAATTTACAAAGACTTGCTTTCTCTGTGTTTTTAATCAGATACTTGGTTATGTACATATGTTGATTTATTTGCAGAACCCAGGAACCTCCGGGTGGGTGGGTAGCTTTTTAGTCTTCTGATTGGGACAGTAGAAGCCAGTCAGGTGGCTTGTGCTGCAGAATGTAGATCAGAGAGGTGCTCAATCTTAAACTGAAGCTCTCTAGTAACAGGACAACCCTGAACTGAAGACAGGTATGCCAAGGTACACGGTGCATGTCCGAGGGGAATGGCTCACTGTCCCTTGTCAAACTGGGACAAGCACAGTGCAATGGCTAGGAAAAGAAGCTCTGAGGCGTTACATCAAAAACAAGCCTGACAATGGAGGGTTTGCTTCAGTGGAAGAAATAACATTCTATGTACGATGCTGCAAAGGACTTGGATTGCTGGACCACGATGATGCCTTGGAGGATGTCTTAGAGGACAACGAATTTGTGGAAGTTGGTAAGCAAACTGCACATTACAGGTCTGAAAATACCTTGTGTACATCAAAGGGAAATTATACATTTCATAAACTGAAATGGTCAGAAAGGGAAAAGATAGCAGGAAACAATATAAGCTGGTCTCCATCAGGAACAAGTTTACCTTTAAATATAAGATATTTTAGTTACAGTTACTTTCAAATAGCTTTAAAGCATTTTTAGAAGGGGTATACAAACCATGTATTTTCCTTATTCATGAACTGAAAGAAAATATATTAGATCTAAACTGTTTGTGATGTCACATTCATCATAACATCCCAGATTTCAGCTGCAATTGTATCTCAGCAGAAAAGCAATTGTCCCTGTGTTGCTTGTCCTTTATCATTCCTCCCTATTGCTAATCCACTATCAAGCTTTTGACAATCAGTTTTTGATACAGGGATTTGGTTTCTAGGCTCATGCTTCATATTGGCCTTCTGTATTTATTGTTAACAATATAAATTAGGCTGTTATTTCCATAATGTCCAACCTCACCTAGATGGGAAAGGTATGTGCAAATAATAAATATTTATGTCTGACAAAATTGTTGTATATGTGTGTTTGCTATTAAAATAGCATTGAGAGCTAATTTTCCTCCTGGTTCTTCTGGGGCATAGCTGGGATATTGTGAATTGGCTGGTGTTTTTTTTTTACTGTTTTTTTTTTAATTTAGTTGTTGTTGCAACCTGCTCAGGGTGGTACTCTAAGATGGATGGCCATACAAATCTTTTAAATAAATGATTTAATTGGGGAAAAAGAAAGCATAAAGAGACAAGGGGAAATGGCATAATAAGATTTGAACGATGCTGTTGTTGATGTTGATGATGTTGATGTTGATGATGATGATGATGATGAAGAAGAAGAAAGGTAACCAAGGCATGACTTATTTGGACATAGAAATGAAAAAAATCTATGTATTAATGAGATTAATTTCCCTTTCCCTCCAGTGATACAAGGAGATGTAATGTCCCCAGATTTTATTCCATCTCAGCCAGAAGGTGTTTATTTGTATCCTTTGAAAAATCTCTCAGATTTTTTTTTAAGATTCCTAGGTTGAAAAGATCTAGTTTAGTGCATAATTGTATTCTTTCTCTTGCTAATAACAGTAGCCTAAAAAGAAGTTTAAATGAACAAAGTAAAATCAATCTCCAAAATATTCTTAAATGTAAAGTTAAACCACCAGCTTGCCATGTTTATTTTCCTTATATGTTATTTCAGATATAGATACAGATACAGATATAGAGAACCGGAACAGGTATGGGGGAATGGTGGTTTATGAAGAGTTAGCACAGCCTTCAGCAATTTCATGTCCACGTGTGATTGAATTAACAGCATCACAGCCAGAATGGCCATTACCATACACTAGTGGGAACCGAAATTAAAGTCTGCTCCATAATATATGTTCCATAATTTGGAATATAAATCTAAATGTGTTTGTTTCCTGTTCTGATCCTTGTTTTTTCTTCTTTTATATGATTTAGATGATAAATATGCAGGCTTCCTTGTTTTCTTAATTTTCCAACACTGTTCTAAAACACCTTGCTGCTCTAATAATAAACCACCACCACCACAACAGTATGATATGCTTCTGTGTGCATGTCTAGGTTCTGGTCTACCAAACACAATGGGAATTACATCTGAGTAAACAGAAGAAGCTACATTCCTAATATTCTCAAGTCTAGGAAGTTGACTGATTGCACAGTCCTAAAAAAGATGCTGGAATGAATCATTGCAATCTAAGAGTTTAATAGTCTGGAACCTTGCCTTTTGGACATAATTTTTTTTTTTAATTACATGAAAATAGTTCCTACTAGTACAATGACTCAGTTTCAGATTATTTTTATTTTATTTTTTTCTTATAAACTGTTGTGTGGTCCTGCAGAAGGAAGAGCAATATAAAAATTAAAGAAGTAAAAATGAAAGAGAAAATCTGATGGTTCCACTTCAATGCCTTTGATTGTGCACAAGCATCAGCAATAACCCCACAGATTACAGTTGGTTGTCCTTATTGATGTCATGTTATTCTCTCTAACACAGTTCTTTCATTCAGTATCTTTATTTAGATGGAAATAGTTTGACAACAGAAGATTTGGTCAATTTAGGAAAGGGACTGTATAATATCAAGGTAAATATCTTGAGAGATTTTGATATTTTTGTTCTTTACCCATAATTAAAACACAAAATAAGTAAGAACTTTTTTTTTCCAGCTTACTCCTGAAGCTGAAATTAGAGTCAAAAAATCCAGAGATGTTATTGAAAGTATTATAAGTGAACAAAGAGGTAACCATTGCTTTCATTTTATAAGATGATTTCCTGGGAGCTCCGACCAATATTTCTCTTCTTCTGCTTCTTACTTTGCATCCCTAGAACTTGAGAGCGAACAAAATCCCCTAGCCAATCTTGTTCTAAAACAAGCAAAATGTACCTATTGCACACCCAAATCATAGCAACATGATAATAGAAATAGAACTGAATTTGCATCTACTGCCCTAATCAGTGGTGGGATTCAAGTAATTTAACAACCGGTTCTCTGCCCTAATGATTTCTTGCCAAACTGCTCAGAAATTTAACAACCGGTTCTCCCAAAGTGGTGTGAACTGGCTGAATCCCACCACTGGCCTTGATGCCAAATATATCCAGTTGGGAATAAGCACCACTTTCTGTAGAAAAAGAGAAAACATATTCTTAATATAAAACAATAAAAAGGTATTAAGACCAATCAGCTATGTTGCAGTCATTGGGGTAGAATGAAAGGTAGAAAGTGGGAAAGGAGCCGCCATGACCATCAATACAATAACCCACTGGTATGAAAAATAGCATGAAGACAATGTTTCACCCGTGACTTCATCTTCTCAGATGTACTATTATGTGTGCTGCACGATTCAGGATTGCAGCCAAAGGGACTGCAACAGATAAATATGCACATGCCCAAGGAGACTGCCCTGGTTATAAAGCATTTTGAGAGGGAGAAAGCAATAAGGTTGCTGCAATGAACAATACTGATTGTAGTGACCCCAGCATTCACACCGTCTGCTTCTTTATTGCTGCCACTATCACATACCATTTTCTAAGTGGTACTTAGAGATGGCCCTGGATTACAGAGTCTTATACAGGCCTACCTGAACGGTGATGGCAGTAAACATGACAATCTAAGTCTCTTTCTTGAAACACAATAATAATAAATACATAACGTATCTGTTTCTTTCAGTTGTCTACGGAATCACAACAGGCTTTGGGAAGTTTGCACGGACTGTTATTCCAAACAGTAAGCTACAGTATGTCACTTTTATTTCTTTCTAAACTCTGTAAAAAAAACTATAGAAAATATAGAAAATTTCTAAATGGTCAACCTGAGCCAAAGCTATTTTTAATGTAGTGAAATGATTTCCATAGTTTCAATTTTAAAAACTTTTTTGCATTAAATTTAATTTCATAATGTAATTTGAACTGACTATTTTCCGCTCTTTTCTCTCTGAGGGAGCTGCAAGTGAACTTAGTCCGGTCACATTCTGCAGGTAATGGAGGATTCATTTCTAATTATTTCATCATCATTTTTACAATCATTTTCGTCCTTATAATTTTGAAATGAACATTTTCATTTCAGGGGTTGGGAAGCCTTTGATTCCTGAGAGATGCCGTATGCTCTTAGCTCTGAGGATAAATGTCCTAGCCAAAGGATACAGTGGACTTTCGTTAGAAACTCTTCAGCAAGTCATTAAAGCATTTAATGGTAACACGATAAGTGTTTTCCTGATATTTTTTCCAGACTTCAGTATTTCAAATACAATTGTTATCCTTTAGAAGAAAGTAAAGTTCCTACTAACGAGCAAAGAATCTCCTATGAAAAAGGGAACAATCTTTCTCTCTTCTCTTTGCCTTTAAAGTAGTGGATTGCACTTCGAATAAAATGATAGAATGCTAGAGTTGAGCCATGTTTGCCAACTTCAATATTATTTATATCCTGTAATGCTCTAACATAGTGATAGCCACATCTTTCAAGTAGACAATATATGGGTCACAGAGTTCAATTGTTTGTTTCTTGGAGCTTGGCTGTTTTCTAGCAGAAGTTTCATTTCCCATCCAGGCAAGATCATCATGATGTAGTGGCATTTAGTATCTTTTGCTGAAAGGAAATATAATAATAGCAATTATTATATATTCAGTCATTATGGCTCTGTCAAGGATCTCATTTTCAGCACACTTTAAAAACACAAAAAGCCTTCCCTCCTTTCCATCCGCCACCTGAAAAATGCATGCAAACATGTTCCTCTCACTGAAGTAACAATTAACTTTTTATTGGTTGTACTGATGAATTGTGGGGAAGACAGGAAATAGTAGCACTTGAGGTGCTTTGGGGAACTTGGGTGGGATTGATTGCACAGCAAGATTTAAAAAATTGAGATGGTGGCTATGATCAAAGTTCAACTTGTTTTTTTAAATGTGTGTTGCCATCTTGACTTATTTTACCATGCATGGTGGACGTGGACCAGTGGTGGGTTGCTCCTGGTTCGGTCCAGTTCTTGTGAACTGGTAGTAAAAGCAGTGGGAGGCTCCGCCCATCTGCCCGGACATCATCATGGATAATCTGTGCATGCGCAGAAGCTTCTGTACATGCGCAGAAGCTTGCGTGCACTCCCATTGCAAACCGGTAGTAAAGGTAAGTAGAACCCACCCTGACATGCATACCCCTGTAACCTAGGATAGTGGTAGTGAATAGAGAAAGTTGAGTCTATTGTCCCTGCTGAAAGGCAATAGGGTGATCTTGGTTTGCCTTCCTGCTCAGTGGGAACTATCATTAAAGTGCTCTGCTAAAGATGAGGAGACAAAATGCTGTATCACAAAGAGAAGCTCTAACCAAAATAATTTTCCTCCACAGCTTCCTGCCTGCCTTACATTCCGGAGCAAGGGACTGTTGGAGCCAGTGGAGACTTAGCGCCTCTTTCCCATCTTGCCCTGGGACTCATTGGCGAAGGAAAGATGTGGTCCCCAAAGAGTGGATGGGCTGATGCAAAATATGTAAGAGAGAAACTTTCTAATGTAAATGGTTCACATGGTGATGGGAGGGTCCATTAAAAGGGAAGAAGGTTATTTTCAAACTTTTGCAATAATGTCTTAAAATGTAAAAAAAATGATACCCTGGTTCTATACCTTCTTTTAAAAAACAAAGGCAAGTATGTTGCTTCTAAGGAGAAATCGAAAGGATATATTTGGGAAATATCTTTATTACACCAACAGACCACAGGTCTTTTCACGACCTCAGGTCTCACCATCAAGCAAGACACTGTAAGAATCAGAGATAAAGTGACACAAATAATATTAAATTCATGACATCTGCGGGGCCATTTTAAATGATTCCTACATTTTCTGTTGCATTCATGAATGCCTATGGGATGACCATGAAGATGAATCAATTTTGATTCCTAGTTTTTAAGAAAGCTTTTCTCAGCCTGGATCTTCCACCTTATGTTAGATTTTAATTAACCATTACTGTCCACAGTCTGTGGGAAAGTTGTTCCTAGGACAGAAAATCAAGTACCTGAACTCATCTGTACCTCCAAGTCCATTTTGATTCCTAGCACCTGCCTGGATAAACACAGTTTTCTTACTTTTTCAGAAGCGGCTTAAGATCAAATGATTAGCCAAAATTATACAGCTGGCTTCATGCCTAAGGCAGGCCTAAAACTCTACCTTCTGGTTTTTAGCCTTGTGCCTTTAATCATTAGATCATACTGGCTATCATCGTCATATATTCTAACATAATATATTTGTAAACTTTAAAACAGAGACCCCTTTTGGGTACCAGGGACTGGTTCTGTGGAGAGAGATTTTTCCGTGGACCAGAGGTAGTTTTGTGTGCTGCCTGCATCTTGCTTCACTTGTTTACACGGATCGGTTGCTGGCATGTTGTGGTCTGGTGCTGGTTCACGGACCAGGGTTGGCCCTGGTTTAAAGCATTATTAAGATTTTTTCCCATTGATTTTCTTTGTAACATCTTTTTAGAAATTAGTATAATTTCAGAAAATGCCACTTCAGTTCAAAAGTATAAAGTATATACGGCATACTTTCCTAGTATATATATATTTTTAATCAGACTTTTGTATTATTACACCAGATAATCTAATTGGATCTATAGCCTGAATAAAGTGAGGTAAAAGAGACATTGAGTATCATAAGCCAGCCCTGTTCTTCCAAATTACTAAATTGCCTGTTCAGAGTAATATCTACAATATATTACAGGTAGTCCTCAATTTATGACTGGTCTTTTAACAACAATTCAAAGTTATGATTACCTCAGAAAGGGTTCTTTAAGGTCTGTTGTAAAATATTGTGCCCCTCCTCCTGTGGTCACATGATTGCATTTTGGGCGCTTGGCAACGTGCTCACATTTATGACTGGTTGACCCATTGCACAGTCAGGTGATTGTAATTTGCAATTTTTTTCCTGATTTCCGACATTTTTCCAGTTTCCAGCAAAAAATGTCCATGTAGGAGAATGAATTCACTTAACTGCATGATTCTCTTAATAATTGCCATAAAAAGATCCAAAATTGGATCCAGTCATGTGGTGCCTAACCTAGAAGCACAACAATTTAAACCAAAATTCTGGTTCTGATTATGTCCTAAGTCAAGGACTACCTGTACTCTAGCTTGCTTGAATATGAGTAACTGTGTAACTGCAAACATTAATATTCCACAGTTCCTGGTCCTGGGAAAGTGTGTGCTTGTGTTGAAGCAAACACAATTAGAAGCCACCTACTGCCTGAGGAGAAGCAGTTCACTAAGTTAAGGCAGTTTGAAGAAAAAAACTGTTTGGAGCTGGTGTGGGCAACCTTCCATTTCCTACAGTACAAATGTGTTAAATAGTGATATGTAGTAAAAAAAGAAAGTTAAATAAAAGGAAACACAGAAAAATCTAGAAATTCAAAACAACAGTTCAATCAAAACTAAAACTTGAATGTAAATTTAAGGCCATTTCCTCATTTTTGTCCTAGACTGCATAGCTTCTAGATATTTCAAAATATTTGTACGTAGAATACTGAGAATTTCAATTCATTTGAAAAGTTTTTCTCACTTAATAAGCATTCTTGGTACTGCCTTATAGGTGCTGGAAGCTCATGGACTCAAACCAATTACTTTGAAGCCCAAGGAGGTAATCAAATGCATGTTTGTTTCCCAATACCACAGTTTCGATTGGCAGATAATGTATTATTTAGGTACATAATCCAGCACTGAATTGTTATAGTGAATCGAAGAGGTCTGTATATTCATATATATATATATATATGTATATGTATATGTATATGTATATGTATATGTATATGTATATGTATATGTATATGTATATGTATATGTATATATATATGGTGTGTGCGTCAGTGGTGAGTTGCTCCCGGTTCACACCGGTTCGCAAGAACCGGTAGTAAAAAATTTTAGTAGTTCGGAGAACCGGTAATAACATTGGCTGGCCACGCCCCTGAACCGGTCCCTGGCCCGGTCGCTGCTTGCTTACCCCGCCCACCTCATCAGAGGCTTTTTTTTTTTTTTTTACTTTTAAAAGCATTTTTTCTACAACCTCTTCGGCTGAAAAAAAAGGCTTTTAAAAGTTAAAAAAGAACTCTGATGATCGCGTGGCTCAGCTCGGATCTCAGAGGCTTTTAAAAACATTTTTTCTACAACCTCTTCGGCCGAAGAGGTTGTAGGAAAAAAAATGCCTTTAAAAGCCTCTGATGATCCCAGCTGACTTGCCTGATCGTCAGAAGCTTCTAAAAGCATTTTTTTCTGCAACGTCTTCAGCCGGAGAGGTTGTAGGAAAAAAAATGCCTTCAAAAGCCTCTGGCGATCCCAGCTGACTTGCCTGATCGTCAGAGGCTTCTAAAAGAATTTTTTTCTGAAACCTCTTAAGATTGTAGAAAAAATGGTTTTAAAAGTAAAAAAAAAAAAAAAAAGTTGGCCATGCCCACCCAGTCACATTACCCCCCAAAGCCATGTCCACGCCCACAAAATAAGCCATACCCACAGAACTGGTAGTAAAAAGTTTTAGAACCCATCCCTGATGTGCGTGTGTGTGTATGCATGTATACGTGTGTGTGTGTGTGTATGTGTGTGTGTGTGTGTGTGTTTATAATATTGACCTGGGCATAGGGAAACAGTTTCTTTCTCCTGCTTTTCTTCTTTTTTAGAACAGTCCAATCTTTTCTTCCCTTTATAGCTCATTCATACCTTCCCTATGCCCAAGATCAACATACGTTTCTTTTACATATTCTTATTAAGCTGTGGCTAGAATGCAGATCAGTACTCAGCATGGGTTTAACTGAACTCTGCTTTATATAGTGAAAGTTTTTGTTATATAGTTGAATGGAATACATTTGAGTGTTTTGCATTTACTGCTTCTCTGCATAGACTCTTAAAGAAAAGAGAACTTAAATTAACTATATGTGAAACACTCAAGAGATTCAGACTGAAGCGTCGTGTCTTCATAGAGTTTTATAGATGACAGGACTGCTAGGAAAGTAAATTGTAGCCAACCATGAGATATGACTGCCAGAAAAGTAATTTCAAGTTGAACAAATGTTGGAATGAAGGAAGTTGCTTCATTCCCCACCCAGGCTGTTTCCTGAGATTGCTTTTGGCTGAAGCACAAGAGGAAACATTTTGTGTTCTTTGAGCCAGGAAAATATAGGAAGGGATGTCTTTGAACAGAAAGACTCACTGAATATAATCCTTGGTGGTTTTTTTTTTTTTTTTTGAAGGGTCTGGCTCTTATCAATGGAACACAAATGATAACTTCTCTGGGATGCGAAGCAGTTGAAAGGGCCAGCGCGATTGCTAGACAAGCTGACATTGTAGCTGCCCTCACACTGGAAGTTCTCAAGGGCACAACAAAAGCCTTTGATACAGGTTGGTATTTTTAACGCAGACTAAGGTCTGTCTGTATGTCGGTCTGTCTATCTTTCCCTCTGTGGTAATTTGCTTGTTCCTTGTTTTCCACATGTTTTTATTCAGAGATATATTCCAGAAAATCCCTCAGCAATTCTAAAACATACATCTTGTCACACCTATAATTCACCTGAGCTTGCCACCAAACAATGGGCAACAGTATTACAGACTTTATACAAAACATATGCATTAGTTTGCAAATTTGTGGCATATATTTTCAACAATACTAATTCTCACTGTGGCAGCCAAACTAGCATCATCACATATCACAACAAAGGACTGGTAACTTAAAAATAATCCAAAACTTTGCAGAAGCATGAAAATATTTAGGAAAATACTTTAACACAGGGGTGTCAAACTCATGGCCCACGGGCTGGATGCATCACGTGCAAGCCACGCCCTTCCCCGGTTTAGCGAAGGGGGGAAAGTCGCAATATGTCACGTGATGATGACATGACAACGTGAATTTGACACCTCTGCTTTAACAGTAATAGTTGTTTGGGAGACCAAAGAACTCAACCAGAATAAGTTAGGTTCTATGCATTATGTTCCTGGGCCTAGATATTAGCTGATTGCTGTGAGTGGAGAATGAAAATAACATGGAAGTAAATAATCATTTTTTTTAAAAAAGGAATAGTGTTTGGATCCCAAACAAAAACACTCCATAATTACACCATTTCAGGGGTGGTATTCACTTATCTTCACTACCAATTCACAATGTGAGCGCCTGCGCAGGGCCTTCCACGCATGTGCAGAGCATCAAAAACGGGACATGATGACATCCAGGTGGGTGGGCGGAGCTTCCCGCAGCTGTCGCTACCGGTTCACGCGAACCGGATAGAACTGGCTGAATACCACCGTTCCACCATTTTATTTATAGGTCCCATTCATTGAAAGAAATAGGAATACACTGAATGAATGAGCAGCAAATATTTTATACTACACTGCTAGATTTTAATTGATTACAACTTTAAATTATTTTTTCCTGCACTGCATTTTCCATATAGTCTTAAGCTTATACAAAACTAAAAAAGAAGGCATTGTTTTCACAAGTAAAGGGAAAGTGTTACCTCTTTATCCTTATTGCTTTTTTGTTTATTTATTGCTTTTTAAATTAATAACAAAAAAGAAAAGAATAAATAGAAAAATAATAGCAATAGTCAATGAGATTCAAAAAAACACATAAAAAGTGCTATAATAAAAAAGTGAAAATATATGACAAAAATATATTACAGGTAGTCCTCGACTTATGACCACAAAGGACCCCCAAATTTCTATTGCTAAACAAGACAATTGTTAAGTGACTTTTGCCCCATTTTATGACCTTTCTTGCCATAGTTATTAAGTGAATCACTGTAATTGTTAAATTATAGCACAATTGTTAAGTGAATCTAGTTTCCTCATTGAATTTGCTTGTCAGAAGGTTGGAAGCGGTAAGCACATGACCTCAAGACACTGCAACCGGCATAAATGCATGCCAGTTGCGAAGCATCCAAATTTTGATCAAGTGATCATGGGGATGCTGCAACTGTCGTAAGTGTGAAAAATGATGGTAAATCAATCTTTTCAGTGCCATCGTGACTTCAAATGGTCACTAAACAAATGATTGTAAATCAAGGACTACCTGTAAACTTTTGTATATGTCATTATATCAATAAACAGATTCAAATAGATAGATAGATAGGTAGATAGATAGATAGATAGATAGATAGATAGATAGATAGATAGATAGATAGAGATAGATGTTTATATATTTGTCTAATGCAAATATTATTCAAAATGTACCGTATATATTTCTGATATATTTATATGACTATTTCTTAACCTACTATATTCTGTATAAATGAATCTGATATTTCATTATATTTGCCCATATAAAGTTTATGTCTGTCAACTCATATGTAGCAAATATAATGAAGTCTTCAATCCATTGAGTAGAAGAGGCCATAAATTTATCTTTCCTATGTTGCAGCAGTAAGGGCACAGAGAATTCATTTGCACTATCAGTTTTAGATCTCATTTAGTTCAGGAAATATTATCCTCTGAGAATTTTAGCTTTTGTCATACGATCATGTTAATATAATCCATTACTTTCTTCCAAAACTTGGTAAGTATAGGGCATTGTAAAAACATATGTTTTAAAGATGCATTATGCTTATTATGTCTCTAAAAATGTTATTTTGACATTCCTTATCTATACAAATCCACTAAATTCTAAATATCTTTTTTTGTTGTATAAGTCATAACTTGAGGTCCATTGACATTCTTGCTATACAGGTAGTTCTTGGCTCACAACCATAATGGAGGCTACCCATTATGGTCAGAAGACATGACAGCCATTAAGGGAAGTGCCCACATGATTGCCTTATGACCACCCCCCATCCCTGCTCTCCCTCATGCAGTCATTAAATGAGTCGATGGGTTGTTAAACAAAGAAAGAAGTGCCTCAGGGATCCTGGGAAAAGCCCTGTGAGGCTTAGCACAGGGACAATTTTTTCCATATCTCCATATTTTCCTCAAATTTCAAAGGTGCCCATAAGTCATTTTGGTCAAATTTCAATCCTTCCTCATTTATTTTCTGAAAATATTTTACCTCTTTATCCTTACTTTAAATCAGATATTCATGCACTGCGACCACATCAAGGGCAGATTGAGGTAGCTTTTCGATTCAGGTCCCTTTTAGACTCTGACCATCATCCTTCTGAAATAGCAGGTGAGTAATCATTGGCAGTTGATATATACTTTATTTATCCAATTAATGCAATCTTTTTTTTAAAAAAAACTGAAAATGACATTTCAGCTTAATTTAAAATAGTATTTTGAGTCATGACTGCTATTTGTTAAAAAAATCACAAATATAGAATATTTAGAATTCATTAAATATGTTACAGTATAAAATTAGTCTGAATGTAGAACGTACCTGTAAACACATGACATGCATATTTCATTGTAAAATAATACAATATTATTGGCGCTAAAATTCAATATATTTGTAAGTGTTGCTATGTGAATCCAGAGGTACAGAAGTGGAAACAGTTGTCACATAACTCATTTACAAAACATTTCAATGCAAATCCCGTATTTTAATACAGCATTGTGAAGATTTCACCAAAATATCAATGCAGGTCTTCTAAAACAAACATTATTTGCTTTGTTTCTTTTACAGAATCACATAGATTTTGTGATAGAGTGCAAGATGCATACACATTACGTTGTTGCCCTCAGGTAAAGCTTCAGAAATTCCTTCAGATATACAGTATGTAATCAGGAACTTAATATACTTTCCAAGTTAACCGAAGTTAGTTTTATAACCAAGTGGAATTCACAAGTAAAACTGATGACATTAACAAAAATATTAATTTCAACAACTGTACTTAAGAATGGCACTTGTTGATAAGTAGTACCACCCACATGTAGCTAAGTGGCAGCATGCAGTCAACTTTGACTGAAGTCTGAAATATTAAGCAGGGTTAGACAGGCAAGCACATGGATTGGAATCAACAGGAAATCCCAGGGCTGCAGGCTAATTTCAGAAAATGACTTCTTAGGTGAAGAAGACAACAGGAGATCATTATCAAATTGTTCTCAGGAAAATTTCACTCAATCTTTACTTGAAAGAGACTTACCTCAGCATGTGAGCCTCTAAATATTCACAGTCTGAGCAAGTTATAGTATCTAGCCAATCTTGTCTGAACTTAAAGGTAATTCTGATTCAATATAACATAGTACATAGGTCCTATCCTGAGTATCAGGGCTCTAGTACTTGCAAAAGACAGCCTGGAAGAAGATAGTAATAAAACATTTCCTATTGCTGCCAACATTTTATGGACATCTTTATCAAAGTCACCAGGAGCTGAAGTTAACTTCCAAGAGATTATACTGTATGAAAAAATGTTTTCCAATCAGAGATTACACTGATTACAGAAATAGAATCTATATGGAACTATTATTTCAAAGAATAATAATTCAACAATTAGTTGAATAATTCTAGACGATAATTTAAAAATAATGAAAAATCATCAGCTGGGAATAGATCATTAAGAACAAATTAAGCATTGCTGCATGCACTATAGTTATAGTTAAATTTATTAAACATATGTAACATATAGCATAGGAAACCTACACAGATATATTTTGCAGGCTTTGTTTATTGTTTATTGTTTATTGAGTCAATACAATATATACTTTTCCTTAACTCTGTATGTTTCTCCCACACTTGTGAGCCAACCAAACATCAATCTGACTTAAATACTGTAAAGTATGCTGTAAATATAAATTGCATACTTTCTATTGTCTACAAAATCTCAGGCATTATTATGAAACAAATGTTCTGTTCGATCAATAAAGATGGAAAGGTGGACTTGTTTTAACAGACTTTCTAAACTGAAGCCTCTGCTTATATTGGCTGAGAATGTAGAAAGTTATAGTTCAACACATACAGACGGTGACAGGTTGAGAAGGTTAACTAAAATGAATAATGGTTTACCAAAAAATAACTAACATCTATCTTTTTCTTGTAGGTTCATGGTGTTGTGAATGATACAATTGCCTTTGTAAAGAACATAATTACCACAGAGATCAATAGTGCAACAGACAATCCTGTATCCTTATTTCTTTTAAAAATAAATTGGTTTTTTTTCCCTTTTAGGAGTTCTATTACAAGAAGTGAACTTGGATTGTGAGACAGATGATAGAAGATATATTATTAGATTGGGTTGGGTTGGATTGGATTGGGTTGAGTTAGATTAGATTAGATTAGATTAGATTAGATTAGATTAGCTAGAGCAATGATAGATGATAGAGATATAGATAGATAGATAGATAGATAGATAGATAGATAGATAGATAAAGGGTGTTAAACTTGCAGTCTCACGCTGTTGTCAGTGATGTATCATGACTTTCCCCCCCTTTGCTAAAACGGGGGTGGGCGTGGCCAGCACATGATGCAACCGGCCTGCAGGCCGCGAGTTTGACATCCCTGAGATAGATAGATAGATAGATAGATAGATAGATAGATAGATAGATAGATAGATGATTTATTCCTAACAAGAAGCTACATAGTATCCACTATCTTTCTACATTAATACATTAAACATTTAAAGTAACATCATGTACCCTGATCTGACTCCTTGCTCAGAACTGAATCATTTACTAAATATTCCATTTATGTTCCTCCATTTTTAGTTATTCCATTATTATAGCTCTCTTACTATATTTAGCAACCGATCTTCAACTCCACATTTGTGCAAAAACATTCACGCCTATTGATTTTATCAAATATTTTCTATGCATCAAAAGGATATATGCTTACCTTCCACTCAAATCACTTTAAAAATGATTTGCTAAGTGCCACCTGTATCATGAAACAAGTAAATAAATTAATACATTAAAAATGTGGAGTTTAAGCTGATCAAAGGAGTCATTTTTAAACATGTCATGTTAATTCTTAATTTTTTGGTAAAGATGGTTTTTGCTGACCGGAAGGAGACAATTTCTGGAGGAAATTTCCATGGTGAATATCCAGCTAAGGTAAGTGTCAAAAATTTCTTCCTCTAACATGTATTTGTTAATTTGGAATTGTGGGGGGGGGAGAAAGAGGGCTAAAATTCCTATCTCTAAAACTATTTAACTTGCAGGCTTTAGACTACCTTGCAATTGGTGTCCATGAACTTGCTGCAATTAGTGAAAGGAGAATTGAACGACTCTGTAACCCATCACTCAGTGAATTACCACCATTTTTGGTTACAGAAGGAGGTCTAAATTCTGGCTTCATGATTGCACATTGCACAGCAGCTGCCTTGGGTGAGTACTTGGGTCACAGGCATCTGAGGACTTGGGAAAATATGAACTTCTCACCTGAAATTGGGAGTATTGATAATAGTGCATCCTGTTTTATTATAGTACTGTGGTGCGTACATTTTTTTGGGACAATTTCTCTCTTGTGCATAACTCATTGCATCTAGGGCTATCAATTACAATCTGGCACTATGTCAATACTGCCGTACATTGATAACACAATTCTCTATTTGTAATATCTTCTTAGGATAAATAATAGTCTGGCTTGTAGGCTTATTCCTAGATATATATGCATAATATATATCTGGTAGGTGAGAGACCACCAGTAGCCTCTCACCGACCAGTACGCTCCCATAGAGAGGGGCTTCTTAGGGTGCTGTCGGTCAAACAGTGTCGACTGGTGGCCCCCAGGGAAAGAGCCTTCTCTGTGGGAGCACCTACCATCTGGAACAAGCTCCCCCCGGAGATACGGAGGATTACAGATCTGCGCGCTTTCCGCTGTGCCCTCAAAACATTTCTATTTCAGCAGGCCGGCCTGGCCTAACCTCTTTTTTAAACTGTTTTTAAATTTTTTAAATTTTAAATTTGTCTTATAAATTTGGGGTGTTTTAAATTTTGTTTTCTGGGCCAAATTATTTAATTGTATTTTAATGGTTTTTTTAACATTTGTATTATATGTATTTTATCTTTTGGCTGTTCACCACGCTGAGTCCTTTGGGAGTAGGGCGGTATACAAATTTAATTAATAATAATAATAATAATAATAATAATAATAATAATAATAATAATATAGCACTGTGTCTTCATTTCAGCCTTCATGAGCCTAGGAAATATTGGGTAGGTAGATGAAAAAGTACACTCAGTTATATAGAAATATTGTAGGAGCTACTATCCCACCACAGTTGGGCTATTTCACCAAGACAACAATCTGAAGCTTACCTTTGAATCAAGTATGACAACTGTCATAGCAAAGAAAAAAAGATACAAAGTTTATGGAAGGCCTGCACAGTATCTAGACTTGAACATTATTGAAATTTGTTTGGAGAATTCAAATATATAGTGCATGCAGGGAGATCTGGCAATATCTCTAAGCTAGAAGAGTTCTGAGAAGAAGAGTATTAAAACATTCTGAAAGCAGAAATAGAAAGATTTTTAGGTAACTACAGGAAACATTTGGAAGCCATTATTTCTACCTAAGGAAGTATAGCAAAATATTGTAACTGAAACCATTTTCAAATTTCTGTTCCTGCCATATTTTTTTTTATTTTAAATCTGTAAACAGTTATATGTAAATAGTTAAGCAGGCATTCAGCTTTAATGAAGAAAGATACCAAACTCAACTAGGCAGAACTTATTGTTGGCTTCTGTTCACTTCAGGATACATTGAAATATAGAATTTGACCAATGCCCGAAGTTTTGTATACAATACTATTATTACAAAGATCTTTCATGGCTGACTGTTCTTTACAATGAGACGTTGTTTCCATTATTATTTGCTTTTATTTCTTCTGGGCTTTTGCAGTTTCAGAGAACAAAGCTTTGTGCCACCCTTCTTCTGTGGACTCTCTTTCAACCAGTGCTGCGACAGAGGACCATGTATCCATGGGAGGATGGGCTGCAAGAAAAGCGCTTAAAGTCATTGAGCACGTGGAACAAGGTAAAGCTAAGTAGCAACCTCCTAGGAAGACACAGGGCATCACAGCAAGGCTTCACGAGGTACATTTGTGTGTTAGATTCCTATGAGGCTGAACAAAAGCAGGATTCCAAGACAGGCAGTGGCACCGTTAGAGATAGGAATGGGTGAATCAGTTTGATTCCTCTTGTTCCTTGCTTTACAGGGCTTGTTTTTAATCAGATATCCAGACACAAATTGGTCTTTTTAAAATCTACAGAGAATTTACTTCCTTTGAAAATGTGAAAGACCATCTGGCTCTTAGCATCTAAGTGACACAGCAAGAATTTTTAAAATACAGAACTATTCTGAGGGGCATATTTAGGCTCCTTCAGACAGCTACTTCTTCTTCTTCTTCTTCTTCCTCCTCCTCCTCCTCCTCTTCTTCTTAGCATATTCCCACAAGTGTGGGGTCTGCTTTTCAGATCATTGAACACCACTTTACCCAGTCAGCTGCATCCCCAGGGCGTAGACCTGCAGCTTGCATATCTTTGTTGATGGTGTCTTGCTATCTCTGTTTTGGATGCCTACAAGGTCACCGGCCATTGACTTCTATTTGGTAGGCAGTCTTGTCAATAGTGGAAGGTGCTACTCTCAGGACATGTCCATATCAGAGGAGCCAGCCTTCTCTCATCTTTTCTGTAATTGGTGCCACAGCGCTAATGATTGTGAAATATATCAAATCAAAAATATGTTTTTAGTTGCTGATCTTGGATAGATTGTCATAGTATACTTCATTAGACGCTAAGGTAGCTCAAGTGAAAATGTTGCCCTACCCTTTTTCTATTATTATTAATCTGTAGGTATTTTATTTTGCCATTTCTGTATTATGAATAGCTTGGTGCAGAAGTATTCTTAATGGCATTGGATATGATGAAATCATTGTATGTGGTTTATGACCATAATAAATATTTGGTTTCATGATTACATCATTTACCAATATTATGGCTATGGTGCTTGTCCTCATTGTTTATTTGTTGTTTATAGTTTTGCCTAATGTTTTTACAATGCATGTTAATTTATGGTCTTGAATTGGCCTAATAAATATACTGTCCTAATTTGACTTTTTACTTTCCCCTTGATATTTAACCTACAGATCAACCTCTTGCACTTATTGGCAAATGACAAAACATTTGTATAATTTCTTCAGAACTCCACTCTTGGTCACATCCTTAAAGTGCCAATCAGGTTCTGTGACTCCAAATGTTGAGTCTTATATCTTGAACTCTTTTCAGCTAACCAATTATTTTCCTATTGTTTATATTCACTAGTGCTGGCTATAGAACTGCTTGCAGCATGTCAGGGCATTGAGTTTCTACGCCCTCTCAGGACTACAACCCCATTGGAGAAAGTCTATGACCTTGTGCGGTCTGTTGTCAGGTATATCAAACGACGATTCCCATAGATTATAGCTTTTGGGAACATTGGCCAAATATTAACAGAACCATACTAATAGGACTAAGTTGAGGATTTTAATTTGACTTTTTTCAGGCCTTGGTTAAAAGATCGTTTTATGGCCCCAGATATTGAAGCAACTCAGCGATTGCTTGTGGATCAGAAGGTAAGTTGTTGTTATACATATACACCAATGCATATAACTCTGTATACATAGCAATTGTTCATAATTCCTTACAAGATTTAGTATTCACTGTTCTATGAAAAATATTTAAATATTTAACAATGAAATATTAAATATTTAATGATACTCTTCAGATGTGTTAGGACTATAACTATCAGAATTCCCAGTCAGTACAAGGAAGGTTGAACCAGGGTTGTAGCAGCTACTGCGAAAAGATAATGGCATATTTATTTCAAATATATTTATCTGTTTTCCATTGTCAAAAGTTTCCCAGCTCAACTAATTAATGTCAGGAAACAAACAAAACAAACAATAGTTGACAGAAAATAATTAGCAAGCCAATAAAAACAAATATTCAAACTAGGTACTGCAAAAATAAAATCTGTAAAATGTGGGCAGAAAAGGAAGTATTTCTTCTCTTGTTACTAAAGAGGGTAGTAAGCAGAGATACAGAATTTCAGAATAAAAAAGAAAAAATTGGGAGGATTTTTTATCTTGTCTTGGTGATGCAGGCAAACTGGCTTCAATAAGTTACATTAACAAAATCATAACAAACAAATGAATGAATGAATAAATGAATGAATGATAAAAAAAAGAACTTGCCTTCTAAATACTACAGTCTGAACTTCAGACCCCATAAGCCTTAGCTTTATAGCCAGTAGCAGACATCTGTAGGGCAAAAGGCCTATAGGGCATTAGTTTCCTGTTCCTAATTTTAGCGTGTCTCCTGTTTATTCGTTATTTTGACATATGTTCCAATATTTTGCTGAATTTCAGGATCAGACTTTGCCTTTTCTTCTAACTCACTTTTTTATTTTCTACATCTAGGTTTGGGAAGTAGCTGAACCATACATTGAGAAATACAGAAGGGAACATATTCCAGAATCCAGACCCATTTCCCCAACTGCATTTTCTCTATCGGCCAGTAAAAGTACTTCTTGTCACCACCATCACCACAGTGATTCTGAGGAGCATGAAGAACTGTGAAAACTATCCGAACTGAATAGCAGTATTTCAATTGCTGGATCGCTGTATGTGTCGTAAAATTTCTGTAGTTTATTCTAAAGGGTATTTGGGGTGGGGGGGGGAGGATTATTTCCAAAACCAAAAATGCTGATAGAAAAGTTGCTAAAATAATTTTACTATTTCACAAATTGAAAAAGAGAATATATAGATTTAATTTATTACAAAATAAATGGAGATGGGCCTGGAATGTAATCCTGTGCACAAATTACATTTCATGGCAAAGTTAATAAAATCAATGTCAAAATTAATATGAATAAACTGTTCCGGTATATTAAAATAAAT